AGGGATACTGCCACATCAATGATCATAGCGGCACAATTCACTATAGCTAGACTGTGGAACCAACCTAGATTCCCTTCAATAGATGAATGGATAAAAAAATACACAATGGAGTATTATACAGCACTAAAAAATGACAAAATCATAGAATTTGCAGGGAAATTGATGGCATTAGAGCAGATTATGCTAAGAGAAGCTAGCCAATCCTTAAAAAACAAATGCCAAATATCTTCTTTGATATAAAGAGAGCAACTAAGAACAGAACAGGGAGGAAGAGCATGAGGAAAAGATTAACATTAAACAGAGACGAGTGGGGGGAGAGAAAGGGAGAGAGAAGGGAAAGCATATGGAAATGGTAGGAGACCCTCAATGTTACACAAAATTACATATAAGAGGTTGTGAGGGGAAAGAGGGGGGGGAAACAAGGGAGAGAATTGAACAACAGCAGATGAGGTAGAGAGGGAAATTGGGAGGGCAGGGAGGGGGGATAGTAGGGGCTAGGAAAGGTAGCAGAATACAACAGTCACTAATATGCCATTATGTAAAAATGTGAGTGTGTAACCGATGTGATTCTGCAATATGTATTTGGGGTAAAAATGGGAGTTCATAACCCAATTGAGTCAAATGTATGAAAGATGATATATCATGAGCTTTGTAATGTTTTGAACAACCAATAAAAAATATATGTATATAAAAAAGGGGGTTTAGAGCCATGCACCACAAACTCTCAGCTTTTAATCTTTTAATGTGAGGAATCATATTAATTGGCTTTCTAAGGTTAGTTTCCCATCCAAATTGAAGATTTTGCTTGCAAGCGTGTGCATACAAATAAATGTTATTTTGTAATATTTTTGCATTTATAAGGAAAACTTTTCTACGATTTTATTTTACCAGTCATTATTGATGTACTTTCTATGTTCCAGACACTATTATAAGCCCATTATTAAATTATCTTATTTGATACTCAGGATTACAAATGAGGACACCAACATTCCTAAAGTAAAACTATTTTGCTTAGATTCATACTGTTAGTAAATACTAAGGCTGAGAATCAAGCACATCTCTCTGAATGTAAAGCCTATTTATATAAACTCTATGATAAAAGAGACACACACAGAGAAAAACTCCAATGGGTATTAACAGTGGTTATCATTGTGTGATGAAATAATAGATCACTTTCTAATTTATGAACTTTCTTATATTGCAAGTTTTACATGCAATTTTTATGATGAAATAGTCACATAAAAGCAATACAAGCCTGTGAAGAATGAAAACTGAACTGACTTTGATTCCAAAATTATGTAAAACCATACATAAATATTCATCAAGAGTCCTCAAAACAATGAAAAAATGATAATCTGAGAACAGAGATATAATTACTTCAAAAATTGCATGGAATGAAATACTTCTGAAAAGAGTGTAGATCTGATACATATAATGGACATAATTATGATAAAAATAATACAAAAGGGAATTAGATTGGGATTTAAATCATAGTTCTGTAACTTGCCATATTTCTAACCTTAGTCTAATTATTCCCATTGAGACTCATTTGTTTCCAGTATAAACTAGAGAAAATAAGACTAATTAATTAGCAAACACACTATCTTAATAAATCAGGTACCTAAAGAACCTAGAACACAAATGTTCAATACTCTTACTATTTACATTGCTTTTATTTCTTGAAAACAGTTATTCACAGTAGTTCTTTCATTATGTGAGTAGCATTTATTTTCATGTGAGAATGCCTTCTTTTTACATATGTTCAAATGCCTTCTTTCAACAACAGAAGGACTTAACATGTTAATGCCCTAAGATTTAAATCACACTTAGAATTATGTCCAGAAGATGTTTTCATTGTTTTCTGAAATAGAAGTCAGAGAAATAGAAAAGAGTAGTTAGTCTTCAAAATTGGTGAAAAATTATTGCCTAATTATAATTAACATGTTGATGACTTCAGATCATAGAATCCGCACTGCAACAGCTGGAATCCAAGCCCACTGAAGTAGAAGAATTTGTGGAACACTTCACTTTTTTGGAAGCGATTTCATCCAAAATATTTCAATTAGAAGATGAGTACTTAACAATTAATCAGTTGTATTCTGTTGTGAGATATTACCATTTATATATTTCAGAAGAGCAAATTGCCATATATAAAATTCTTTTTGCCAAGTTTCATCAACTAAAAACAACTATAAAGTTAAATAAAACAAACAGGGAGGCTGCCATAACAAAATTCAGGGAAAAATTGGAAGCAAATATTGCTGGTCTACGAGTGGACGTTAGTAATTTAAAAGCCAACGTAAGTTTTTTGTTTATTCTCACCAAAAACTTGATCTTCCCTTACTATGCAAATAGATATTTGCTTTCTGTGGTATCATAACTAAAAAATTTTAATCCAGTATTCTTAACCTGGTATTCACAGAATGTTAGTAATATGTGAACTTCAATGGGAAATAAAATTATATCTCTATTTTCAGTAACCTCTAACTGGAATTTAGCATTTTCTTCATCTATGAATGAATGTAGGCAACCATCAGCAGCAGAGCTGCTAACTTACCAGAGGCTTCAAGAGTCCCAAAGGAACCTTTAGCATTAAAAAAAGGGCTAAACCCCCCTGAAACCTTTTTAGGTCTTTGCCTGAGCCTAATGTAATGATAGTTCCAACTTCACTTATCATGTTAGATCTTGGATTATATACTAATGTAATTGTCAGCAAAATGTGTAATTTCTGAATGTTTTGGTTTCTGAAAATGTCTGACTACTGTTGTTTTTTAGATAGGAACTCCTGTTCTGTTTTTTATTGGTACTCGAGTGCAAATGGCAATGGAAATGATTCGGACTTTCTCAGAGGAAGCTGCACGTTTGGTTAACAAAATTAAAACCTACTCAAGCTATCAGGATCATTTTGACGATCACCAATATCATATGCATTCTCTTAATATGGAAGAAATTACAAATATTGTGCTCTCAGAAATCTCTGACATTGAATGTGACTTAAGTTTGAGGAAAATGTTATGGGAAGCACAAGATGAATGGGAAAAGTACTTCTGGGAATGGAGGAAGTGTTCTCTTCAAAGTATTGATGTAGAATTAGTACAGAGAACTATTACAAAATTGCTGAATATAATCATTGTACTAGAAAAAGGTAAAAATGTGTTTCTCAAATTTTCTCACTCACCTAGGATTACATAAAATATGGCCTCTGGGCAATGTAATCATTGTCTTTGGTTGACCATTATGGCTAGAGGAACAATATAGTAGTTTAGGTAGGAATTATTTGCTGAAACAAGAGATTAAAGCTTTGCCAATAATAATAAGAAGAAGTAATAACAAATTTTGTCTCCTTTAAAAGTTGATACTGCATGAAAATCCAGGGAACCAGTAGAGTAGAGGAAAGGAGCTAGGTGGAGAGAAGAAGAGAGAAAAGGGGAAAATACTGGAGAATAATATTGGACAAAAAATATATTGTTATATTGTGTACATATATGAATTTGCAACAATGAACCCCACCATTATGTATAATTATAATGCACCAATAAGAACATTAAAGAGTTTTTTAATAAAGTAAACAAAAGTCAATTCTGTGGTAGAACTCCAGACACTTGACTCAGATTCTAACTCTTGCTAGAGTATTGTCCAGAGTTATTTTAATGATAGAGGCCCACCTTCAGAATCTTTACCCAAATTCTCTTCTATACCTATGGTATCCTTTGGGCAGTGTGGGAAACAGCTAAAAAGTCATTCTGAGAGGTTTCCCTGGTGCTAATCATCAAATTTGAAATTTTGCCAATGGAGAGAGACTCTTTCTGAGAGGATTCTATAAGATTATGTCCTTTCCAGGAGGAAAGTTTTGTTTCACCTAGCTAAGAGATTGTTTTGTTTTTTTTAGACTCCTAGCTTATCACTCAGCAAAACCAAAAAAACAAAAACAAAAACAAAAAACCCTGAACAAGCAATACAAAATTTTATTTTTCTTATCCCTAAACTATAGAAGAAATAAAGCTATCACAAATTTTTTAGAAAAAAAGAAAAACTAGCTGCACATCAGTCTCACTGCTTTAAAATAATACTCATTGTGTGCATTCTCAATGTGGTTTGCTATGTACATGTCTCAGAGAACAATATATGAATTAACAAGTAGACAACACATTCTTATAGCCATAGTTTCACAGAAATAATATTGTTGTTTGCCAAAGTTGAAACTGGCAAAATCTAAAGTTTGCTTGTTCTTTCTGTCTCTCCTTTTTATTTTTATTTATTTAGTTATACATGACAGTAAAATCATTATGATATAATTATACAAGCATAGAATATACCTTATTCTAATTAGTAGGTATGCATGATGGTGGAATTCATTTCAGTATTTTCACATATGTACACAGGAAAATTATTCAATCTACTGTCTTTTTTTTTCTGGGTACCAGGGATTGAACCCAGGGGCCTTACCCACTGAACCACATGCCAAGCCCTTTTCATATTTTATTTAAAGATTAGGTCTTGCTGAGTTGCTTAAGACCTCACTAAGTTGCTGAGGCTGGCTTTGCATTCACTATCTTCCTTTCTCAGCCTCCCAAGCTGCTGGGATTACAGACATGTGTCACCACACCTAGTTCTACTGCCTTTTCTATTCCTATCTCCCCTCCCTTCCCTTCATTCTATTTGTCTAATCTACCAAACTTCTCTTTTCCCTCACCCTTTATTGTGGCTTTAGCGTCTACATATAAGCAAAAAACATTTGACCTTTGGATTTTTGGGGACTGGCTTATTTCACTTAGCATGATAGTCTCCAGATCTATCCATTTACTGGAAAATGCCATAATTTCATTTTTCTTTATGACTGTGTGTGTGTGTTGTATGTGTGTGTATAATGTGATGTGTGTGTTTCTATTTCACATTTTCTTTTTTCAATATTTAATTTTTAGTTATAGTTGGATACAATACTTTTATTTCACTTATAAATAAGTGAAGATCAAACCCAGAGTCTCACACATGCGAGGCGAGCGCTCTACCGCTGAGTCACAACCCCAGCCCATGTATATCACATTTTCTTTATCCATTTATCCGTTGAGGGGCACTTAGGCTGGTTCCATAGCATAGCTATTGTGAATTGAGCTTCTATAAATATTGATGTGACTGCGTCACTGTTGTATGCTGATTTTAAGTCTTTTGGATATATATACTAAGGAGTAGGAAACTGGGTCAAATGCTGGTTCCATTCCAATTTTTTTGAGGAATCTCCATTCTGCTTTCTATAGTGGTTGCATCAATTTGCAGTATCACCAGCCCTGTATGAGTGTACCTTTTCCTCCACATCCTCACCAACATTTATTGTAAGTTGTATTCTTGATAACTGTCATTTTGACTGGAGTGAGGTGGAATCTCATTGTAGTTTTAATTTGCATTTCTCTAATTGCTAGATATGTTGAACATGAACTAAACAGACACTTCTCAGAGGAAGAAATACACAAAAGTTGTCAAATATAAAAATTCTTCTCTTGATCTCCTATTTAACCAGGTCTTGTAAAACATTATACTATTCAGTGTAGGTTTATAGAAGAAGCTCCATCTGTACAAATTTGATTTTTTAAGATTATTGGTATAGTTTTAGTTTTTCAGGGTCCCCAACTTGGGCTGTTTCTCTATTGCCTCCCCATTTCTTTTATATGTTGAGTAAAAGGTTATAAGAGATGAACCTTCAACTGCTTAGGCTTTGAGTCCTGTACCTCAGTTGTTTTCAAGGACCAACCAATGATGACATATGAACAAGTCATCACCTACATTTCAGTGTTAAAATATTTTCTTTGTGAAATAATAGAAATGGTGGATTTTTTTCCCCTCGACGTTCTTCTTTATTTAGAAAATTTTCAAAGTCCCCAAACCTATGACAGACTTATGAATGTCCATTTTTGTTCCATCTGTATATCTATCTTGTCAGTAAAAATCTGGGAAATCCTGTGGAGGTGGGCATCCTTCTTATCACATTTCCAAGGTAAGTTGGCTCTGATAGTCTTAGGTTTTAGTTACTCTTCTTGACAACCATTTCTCTTTATTTTAATCCATAATTGATTCATATGAAAGGGTAATGTTAAAGGCCATTATCTTATATTATAATGCAGACACAAAACTGATAGAGTAGTATTACATTAAATTAGTAAATCTTAAAGGGAAATTTTTATTTTTTAAATTCATTTGGTTAAAAAATATGAACATAAACATATTGAAGCCTACCGATTTATATTGTTATTTATAGGTTTACCTAAAAATGATTTGTTAACACATCTTAAGCAATCGGTGATGAATTTTAAACAACATCTACCAATCATCACAGCACTGGGAAACCCGTGTCTCAAGCAGAGGCACTGGGAGGCTCTCCAGGAGATTATTGGAAAGTCAATTAACCTAGATAAAAACTGTACTGTGGAGAATCTTCTAAGCCTCAAGGTAAATACAGTTGGAAAGCAATAGAATGAAATCCTAGAGCAGCCAATTGTAAGTAGGCAAGTAAATTTATAAGGAATTGGAATTAGAAAAGATAAAAGTGTATAACATGTCTGGGAAAATAGTAGATAATATATGATAGGATCTTATGTATAATTGGAAGTAGTGGGTAAGCTACTCATTTATGCTCTTGTTATCTAAATGATTAGAAAATAGTAATACTGGTTCTCATATGTGACAAATTCAATAATTTAACAATGCTACTTCTTATAGAACAGAAATTTATACATTTATAGGAACCGAAAAATCAAAAGTACTGCATCTGATTTTGTATAAAATGTAAGTATATCAAGAGTATTAGGATGGCACTACCAATAATTTGATATTATATCTGAAATGTCTAGTTAGCAATAACTTGATTTGCCACAAAATTATGATTTTTTTCAGTTTTTTTGGAGGTAAAAAGTTTCCTATTTTCCTTCCTAAGTTATAATATGCTTCTTTTATGTTTGAAGTATACATACTATAATCAAACCCAGCATTGCATCTATAATTCTATTGCACAGAAGAACATGGGGAATATTTTAAGGAATTTAAAAAGAAGAATTTTTAAAGATAACTTTGACTTTTAAAATTAGTTTATATTTCCAGTCCTAATCTAAACCTCTCTTGAACTCCAGACTTGTATATCCAGTTTTTCTATTGACCTCTCTAAGAGATATCTCAAAATTAACCTGTCGTAAATTTTACTTTTTATTCTCCATCTCCCCAATTCAACTTTTCCTCGGTCAGCATTTCCATCCCAGCTAATGGCAGCTCCATTCTTCCAACTACTTACACCAAAAATCATGAAGTAATTATTAAATCTTCTCTTGTTCTTCTACTCTGCTTCCTATCTGAATCTATCATACTTTCTTATTGCTCTAGCCTCCTAAACAATCTATATGCCAAAGATAAATTCAGTCAGATATCTAGATAATTGCAGAACATTCAGGGTCAATGCCAACAGGGGAATCCTCAGACCACCATGCTGAAAATAAAGCACAATTTCATTGATGGTTTCATTTTCAAAGGCTTGGATTAATGGAACTATAACTGGGCAAGTTAAGTTTAGAGTAAGAATTTATAAAACTGAGAGAAGCAGCAAAAATAAAATTAGGCTAGACAGAGATAGGAGCAGCAAGAGGCTTACATGGGATTGGTGGCCTATAATATCCCAGAGGGCTCCAGTGAGCTATCCTCACCTTTCTAACTTGAATGGTTAGCTTCAAAGGGATATCCTTTGCAGTCTGGGGAGGATCCAAATTAGTTGAACAGGACATCTGAACAAAAAAGAACATATTTTCAATCCTAAAGTACTTTGTAGCCAGGCACTAAAGGAACTCTTCTTCTTAAAGTGAACTATAATAATAGAGGGAATGAAGTGGCCATCAGCAGGCAACCTCAACTGAACTCTGAGAGTTCCTGGATGGTTTGGGTAATCCTGTAGAAATTGAACAATTTATCAAATATCTATAGGTGCATAGATGGACAGGGTTTGGCCTAGAAACTCATCCCTAATTTTTTAAAACCTGAGTTTCTTGGGGTTGACCCAGAGATAATAGTCATGCAGCCAAACTTTCTAGGATAGGTCCTAATCCTGTCAATATCATGATATCATATGACAACCATTCTGTCCAAGATGTCATACAAGCTCTGAGAAGCCAATCACATGAAAATATGTCATAAAGTTAAGAGAAAGAGGTCAATGGTTTACATAAATGAACATTATCTCTTTATGGTTAATCATTTCCACTTTAGAAAGCTTTGTGTTTTATAATACAGGTAGATGGTGCCACAACATGCAACTAAGTTATTCAGAGTCACTCCAGGTGAACTTGGGTTGGCACGAAATAACTACACTAAGACAGAGAAAATAACTTTTCCTTGGTATTCTTCAGAGATGGCTCCTCTACTCTAGTTCCCACAAGGGAGGCAGAAAAAAGAGGAGGAAGATGCTCTGAAGCCCCTTTTATTGAGGGGAAGACACTGGAGAAAGTTCCACCCTAATGAGAGAGGTCAGGTTTCAAGGGATTGAGTCTAGCTTCGTGATGTCTTATGGTCAGCAGATTGACATCTTGGAAGGCCACACCCATCTCAGATGCTGTGTGGGGATCATAGGCAGAGCAAGCGAAAAGGACACATATATCGACAGCCCAAACAGAGAGGCAACATCAGTCCAGTCCATAAATATACTCATGCTCATAGTTCACACATACAGCCCATAGCTGGTTCACCACAAGATGGTTCATTATAAGCATTAAGATTCATCTGAAACTTCTCAGATTCTTCAAATAGGAAAACAAAACTATTTGTAAATCAGTTTCCAAACTTTTGACTATAAAGACTTAACAGTGTTAGATTCACTTGGTTGAAATTTTGCCTTACATGATCAATATCTGGATTTAGTTTTGAATAATCTCAGAGTGTTAGTCACAAAGTCCTTTCTTGGGGCTGGGGTTGTGGCTCAATAGTAGTGTGCTCGCCTAGCATGCATGAGGCACTGGTTTCGATCCTCAGCACCACATAAAAATAAAGACAATAAAGTCCATCAACAACTAAAAAAATATTTTTTTAAAAGTCCTTTCTTTCTGATAGTCCCATGGCTTTTTATCTGTCTTTGGCTGAATAATGTATGTTAAAAGGTAAGCCTCTTTCCTGAAACTATTTGTTAAGACCATAAGCAGTCAGCTGATTTCACCATCCTTACCCCATCTTTGGCAGGCTTATAAGAAATTATGAAAACTAATCATGCCTGCCCATAATCCCTGCTGAGCTGCATGATCAAAACATAGAGATTAGATATCATTCTTCAGTCCCATGAAGGTGACACATGGGAATAGTGGTAGATTCTGTTGATATTTGTTGATTAATTGTATATCATCTTCTGAGAAGCATCTGTTCAGTTCCTTGGACCATTTATTGATTGGGTTATTTGGGTTTTTGTGTGTGTGTTAAGGTTCTTGAGTTCTTTATATATCCTAGAGATTAGTGCTCTATCTGATGTGCATGTGGTAAAAATTTGCTCCTCAAAAAAATCAATCATTATAAACTATACAAAATATTATAAATACATACATGAATAACAAAAATATATTTCATACATGCAATACATACTTTATCACTTACATCTCAATATTTATTGAGGTTAATAAAAATGTAAACTACTAAAGCAGTAATGATAGGAATCTTTTATATAATTTTCTTTAAAATAAAAACCAAAAGTATATGCATAAAAAAGAATGCCATCTACACATACACAATAGGTATATATTATTACATTGACTACAATAAGAAAAAAATAATTAATTTTCACTAAGAATGAAGAATGTGAAATAGTTAGAATAATTAAAAACTGAAAAGCACTATGTCATTCAGGTTTTGCCATTAAATCTCAATTTAAGATATAAACTTAACTGGAATCAGTTCTTCAATTCTTCTGATGAACCTTTTAAAACATACATTTAGATCGTCCATGTTAAATGTTTCAGGAATTGTTTGCTCCACCTAATATTAAATAATAATGTGTTCATTTCAGATATTTCAGTTTGAAAACAAAATAAATGAAATATCAAACTCAGCAACTAATGAAGCTGCTCTTGAAAAAATGCTATTCAAGATTATCAATCTTTGGAACACTACCCCTTTACGTGTAGTTCTTCATCACACAGAGATGTACTCTATCCTAATAATTTCATCTAATTTCATAGATGATATATTTGCTCAGTTAGAAGAATCTCAAATCTTACTTGCAACAATTAAAGGATCTCCCTATCTCGAACCCATTAAGGTAAATTTTATGGCAAAGATAAAATGTTTTTATTCTCTACAGTTTCTCACTTTAAGTAATTTTTGCATCCTACAGTTTTGCACTTGCTTTTAAATTACATAAGTCTTTCATATGCTTAAATAGAAGTGAGAATGAATATTTAATAGTTTGAATACTAGAAATAATTTTATGGGAACATTGATTATTCATGAGGAAGTGTCAGAATGTTTAATTGGGACAGAAAAGATAAATTTAGATCATATAAAAATATGACCCTACAAGCCATGACTTTTTACCAGCGGTGTTCAGTATATCCTGATAATTCTTCAGTGAGTAGCCACACATAAATATCTAAAAAATCATTTTAAAACTTCAAGAGATTCAATAAGATGTGATAATATAAATATTTAATAATAAAATTAAGATAATAGATCATATATATACATAAATCTATATAAATATATTGACATATAGAGTTACAGAGAATGTATACACTGAACAAATGGAAATCACATTATTCATAAATACACAAACGTTTAGAGAAAGTGTCAGTTAGGTGGGCCTTAGAAAACTCAATGAATTACAAAGAAGGGATAAGTCAAATAGCTTACATGGTCTATCAATGTGGAACAAAAAAAATGAGCCACAGAAAAATAGCAAAACAACAACAAACAAACAAAAATATACAGAAAAATTAAAAAATAAAAATAACCACCTAGATGAGTATGTTAATTTTTTCAATAGTTTCTTTTGTTTCAATTTCATTGATTTCGCTCTGATTTTAATTATTTCTTGCCTTCTGCTACATTTGCTGTTGTTTTGCTCTTCCTTTTCTAGGGCTTTGAGATGAAGTGTGAGCTCATTTAT